TTCCTAACCACCCCAGCAAACACTTGATGTTTTTAGACTTTAAAAAATGGTTTCCATTTAATAGGTTAAAATTAGATACAGTCAACAAAACTGGATCTTACTTTGTAAAAAAAATGTTTTTAGACAATGAGAGAAAATAAGAATGAAAATAGTTCATGTGTTCTATGTGGGACTGTGGGAGAAATTGTTTTTACTGAAGCAGCAGTCCCTGGTGTCCTTCCACTTCCCTCAAGGCTTAAAAGCACCATGATGATCAGTCTTTTAAAGAGCACAATAGCATATGACTGAGGAATCAAGACTGCAAAGAAGTGCCTTGTTTCCTGGAAATGTTTCAGGTTGGGGAAGTGGTGAGGATCCACTGAGGGGAAGTGCTCATGGCTGAAGAAATATGAGGCCTGGTGCCTGGCAGTTGGATTGAGCCACACGGAGACCACGTTGTACCCCACAAAAGCGATCTGGTGAAGAGGTGCCAAAAAAGGGAGAAGGCCAGGGTCACAGAACCTGTGCAGGGGTTTGGAACCAGAGTGCTCCTCAGAATGGGTGCAGAGATGGTCTGTGAGGACCTGTCTGACTTCAGTGAGAGTTTGAGGGGCAGAGAGTGATGAAAGCAGCCCTGCACAGGAGGACACCAGAGTGGGGAAGCAGGTCTCAGGGAGGGCTAGGTCTCAGTTCAAACAGCAAGGGAGTGAACATTCCAGGGAGAGGCTGCCCTGAGTTCTCCCAAGGGCTCATAGGAAAGGTTTCAGCAGGTGGGGTCAGAAAAGGAGTGTTCAGGGCTGTGGGGGGAGGGTGACCTGAGCTTCTTACAGCCACTGATGCAAACAGTGATAAAGGACATAATGAGACTAGTCCAGAATCTGAGGCAGAGAGTGGTGAGGAGGCTGTGAGTTTGGGGGAAAGGGCCTGGCTTAAGAAGGCAGGGTCCTGGGCTCTCTATAGTCCAGCCAGGGAAGGACAGAGCCCGGAGAGGCCCAGAGCTTCCTTATGACACCTGCACAAAGAAGTGTCTGTCTGGCCAGGCAGTGTTTTGTAGACTACTGTGGGGTCAGGGAGTGGCTTCTCCTGGGCACAGGACCCCAGGAACCTGCAGAACACAGGGTTCCAGGCTCCCTTGGATGCCCCCTGATGGCTCTCCTCTGAGGGGCTGTAAACTGGCTCGCTGGGTACCCACAATGTGTAAGGCACTTTTTCTCAGTATAATGCACGAGGCACTGCCAAACTCACACCCATTTATGATAGGCACAATTACTATCCCCATTTTAGAGCTAGGGAAACTGAGGCACTGAGCAGTTAATCAACTTGCCCAGCCTCTATAGATAGTCAGTGTAGAGCTGGGGCCTCAACACAAGCAGGCTCCCTCACAGTGTGAGCTCCTAGCTACTGGCTGTCCCACTGCCCTTTTCCAGACTTGGCTGTCTGGGGTGGCAGTTGTGCCTTCTGGCTGCAGGTGAATGACCAGTTGCCTCTTCCAGACTGGCTCCCACCCCTCTCCTGGCAGCAGCCTCTTAGGTAGCAGAAGCTGATAATGGTGTGATAAATGGGCCTTTCAGAATGGAGGCAAGTGTGTGGTGCCCAGGACTTCTCAGTCCCAGTAAAGGCTGTGTCCCTGGCCCTCCCCTTGTTACAGAGTCTTTGCTGTCCCTGGCTGATGAGTTCCCTCGTGCTTCCTTCCTCTTCAGTTTTGGCTGCAGAGACACAATCCAGAAAATGCTTGCATGAAGGCTGTGAATAAGGATGACACCTCAGAGACATTACAGTGCATACTGCTGAGAGTGTAAAGCCAATCAAGGCAGAGGAGCATGGTTGGGAGTTGCAGAGGCACTGGCCCCAGGAGAGGCCACCGAGGAGGTGGAGGCTGCTGAGGAGAAGATGGAAGGTTCGGAGTGGGATGGCATGTCAGAGAGAGATATGCAGCCAGCAGCTACCTGAGCCTGATGCCTGAGCAGTAGGAAGTTTTCCCTGGACAGGGGTTCCTGGGATGCAGTTCTTACTCACCTAGGAAGGATGTGGAGCCTAGTGAGGATAGAATGGTGGCCCTGAGAGGGGCATCAGGGAGAAATGAGGAGGGTTCCAGGAGCCCTGCTGTGGGCTAGAGGCAGAAACCCCTATAATTAGAGCAGGAACAGGGTTGAACTTTCTGGTCCCATCCATGAACTCGATGAGGAGACCATTTACTCAGTGAAAGGTCCATGGCTGTTCCATCACCAAGGGGCATGAGAAGGCTGGAAAAGGGAACACTTCAGTGTAGTTTTCAGTTTTAATGCACGTTAACTATAAAAGCTACTGGCACGTCCTGCGGTTGGAAAATGGTTCATTTTATATAACTGTAGAAGTTGGTCATTCTATTCACTGTCCCAACCAACTTAGCAAACCCTAGAATGCTCCTTCAAGACACTGGTGTCCATGTTGCTAGTGCTGGGTTGTGGGGCGAGGCTGAAGCACACAGGTGATCCCTCGTGATCAAATGGCTTAGGCTCAGGGCTGATACTGGTCAGCCCAGGGACAGCACATGGGGCTGAGATCTCAACCACGAAGACGGAAGGATCCATTGTGTCAAAGCAGGGCTGCCCAGGGTGTCATCCACAGATCAGCTGCCAGTCCATGAACTATTCACTATCAGGGAAGAAACAGAGACTAGTAGAGCCATGAATCACTACACTATTTATGTCAGCTGAGTGTTTGTTTCAAACCAAGACTTTCCATGCAGGAAGTAATGCACTCTTTTACATTCAGGTACGGTTTTGTCATTTTGTTATATGAGTGACCAAGCATGAGGAGCATTTTAAGTGGCATGAGTTTAAACAGTGTCATGGTCCCAGAATTAAAATATTCAATAGGCCACACATCTGTGAAAACCTTGCTTTTTCAAAAATGCTCTTTTCTTATTTATGTAAAAGTTAAAACACAACATGTGCATTAAATATCATCAATTATGAAGTAATTCTAGCATGCATTTATTTGCAAATTGCTTCATGTATAGCATTCCATTTAATTTCATAACAATTCTATGGGCTAATACTATTAATGTTCCTTTTTAATTTTTTAAAATGTTTTATTTTTGTGTAAATACACACGTATATTTTAAATCTAAATCTGATTTGGTAAAAACTTAAACTTTTAAAATTATTTCTGTACATCCTCTATTTGTTTCTATTTTTAACATATGTAAGATTGCCTCACAATGCCGATGCATTTCTTCTACTAAAAAATCACAGCTAGGTTTTCTCCTCTGCTTCACCTCACGTGCACCATTTTCTGATTTAGCAACACAGGCACAAATTAAATTCTTTCTATGGGAAATCTTGCTTTTAATGCAAGAGTAATTCTAGATATTATGTATCCCATAATAATATAGGCATAGACATTAGAGTACCATCAGCAGATGAGATTTTCTGGCTGTTCCCCAAGCTTCAATACCCCATGTAGACAATTGCCAGTGGACTCAAGTGCAAAAAACTCACACAAGCTGGGTTTCCTTAATCCTAATATTAACGAAAAGGATGTAATATCTGCAATTCAGATCCACTTCCCAAAGGGCAAATAATGTAAACTGAAAGTGTGGAGACGTTATTCCCTATATTTATTTATTCCCTATGGCTACTATAGAAAATTAGCACAAAGTAAATGGCTAAAAAGAACACACGTTGATTCTCGAAAAACTTGTGGACTCCTTCCCTTTGCTAGTATTTTATGGGGAAGTTTGATGAGTATCTGCCTTTCTCCCCAGAGAGCTTGACCAAGTTACTTATTCTAGAGATGGGCCTGAGTGCCAAGCACATTTATAAGTAGGGCATGTATTCCAGTCCTTTCTGTCATTCTGTGTGTGTGCATGTGTGTATGTATACTTAGGCATATGGGTCCATACGTACGTGTGTGTATAATATATACATAGTATGTGACATTATATTCTATAAATGCATATACACACAGATACTCCATGGTAGAAGTTCCTGGGGCTTTCGTGTTGCAGTCAGAGCTCCTTGCTTCTTGGACCCTACTATTTATCCTGGACTAGCTTTAGTTGGTGGTCATGTCTCCTGTTGCCAGGCTAGAGCGTGGTGGAAGAGGACACACACACATCTCTGCCATGTTCCTGCCACAAGGCCTCATCCTTAAGTAATGACTTATTTCCCTCCAGTTGCTACCTGTTGGAGCCAAGAATATTAGTTTGTGGTGACACTGGGTTAACTCCGCATGGATTGCCTTTATCTGATGATTTTTCTGTTTAGTTGGCCAAGTTGAGGAACAGACTCACTGTGATTCCACTCTCTCTGCTTTCACTGTCCCAGGGATGAGAGACAGGCCTGGAAGGAGAGCTCTTGGCGCCGCCTGCTGGCCTGTGTGTGTTTCTGAGCCAGCGCCTAGCCGGTGGGGAGGGGGTTGTCCCTGCCAGCAGGGCCGCTAGTTGATCTCACTGAGCAGTCAGTTTCAGTAGGTTTTGGCGGCAAACTGGAGAAGGGACGAGCAGACCTCCACTTCTGTTGTGCCTTTTTTTTTTTTTTTTTTTTTTTTAATAGCCGGGGTTTCACCATGCTAGTCAGGCTGGTCTTGAACTCCTGATCTCAGGTAATCTGCCCGCCTTGGCCTCCAAAGTGCTTGGATTACAGCGTGAGCCACCGCGTCCGGCCAGTTGTGTCTTTTTTTTAAAAAAATAATATGTATGTAGGCCGGGCGCGGTGGCTCACACTTATAATTCCAGCAGTTTGGGAGGCCGAGGCGGGTGGATCACGAGGTCAAGAGATCGAGACCATCATGGTAAACATGGTGAAACCCCGTCTCTACTAAAAATACAAAAATTAGCTGGGCATGGTTGCGCGCGCCTGTAGTCCCAGCTACTTGGGAGGCTAAGGCAGGAGAATTGCCCGAACCCAGGAGGTAGAGGTTGCGGTGAGCCGAGATCGCGCCATTGCACTCCAGCCTGGGTAACAAGAGTGAAACTCTGTCTCAAAACAAAGAAAAAAAGGAAAAAAAAAAAAAAAATATATATATATATATATATACATATGGCGCCGTGAGGCGCCAACACCGTGGGCCCGCGTTTGTTTTGGACTCTGGGGACGGGGGGCAACACCGGCGTTGCTGGAAGGGCGGCCGCCCGGGGCGGGAGAGGCTACCGGAAAAGCACCTGCGCCTCGCCGCTAGCCCTGTGAGCTGCCGGGGTTCTGAACTCCCTGGCCCCTGGGGGTCGAGTCAGCATTCGGTCCCAGAACTCGGCAGGCTGCGAGCTGGCAGGAGCCGGCACAGCTGGTGCGGAAACCCCCAGGAACTCCGCGGCTTCGCCCCGCGGCCCTTGCAAACATAGAGGTGACTGCTCGCAAAACCCCCTTGCACACATGGGAGCTGCCGGCTTCCAAAGCCCCCTTGCACACCTGGAGCTGCCGGCTTCCAAAGATCCCTTGCACACATGGAGCTGCCTGCTTCCCCGCCCACCCCAAGGCCGGGGCTGGGCTCCAGCGGTACTTTTTCAATAGGCGGGGGTTGAGTTAGGGAAGCTCCCCGCCCATAGGGGCTGGAGAAGGTGAGCAAGGGGGAGGGGCGGGAAGTCAGCAGGCAGGCTCGATGATTGGCTGAGTCTTTGATGGATGGGTATTGTGTCCAATGTTGGAACGAAGCTTGAGGTTTTTTTTTTTCCTCTGCGGGGCGGGGCGGTATTTCCCTGGTAACGGAGAAGTGGCGGGTGGTAAAAGTGGTTGAGGTTTTCTCCATCTTCCCTCCCTCCCTCCTTTCTAGTCTGGGCACCAGGTCTGTGACCGTTTCGTTAGCGGAGAGGTAGCTGCCAGTCAGCTTCGGTAGGCCTGTGCCCCCAGCCCTTCTGGCGGCCTCCGTGCTGAGCTCGCGGCTCACGCAGAGAGGGACGTGCAGTGACCGGCGGCCGAAGCAGCTTTGCGGTGAGAGCACGCGGGGCCGGGGTCGGCCGGGAGCCTGGTGGCGGGTAACGCCGCACTCTAGGGTGTGTATGGGGTGGGGGGGCCTGACCTCCTTGGCTTCCCGCAGAGCAGATGGGCTGGAGGTGTGTGGCTGTGAGAGGCGGGTGGGAGGCGAGGCGGGGTGGCTCTCCGCGAGGCAGGAGGAGAGTGTAGTCCCTTTGCACGTTGAGTGGGACAGGCTCTCGCGCCGCCTCTGAGGCAGGACCTGCGCACCCGTGCAATTGTGGAGAAAGGGACTGGGCAGCTTCGTGCTGAGGGCGGTTTACAGCCGATCACACCTTCTCCTCTCCGGGTGTGCGGGGCCTCGGGCATGAGGCCTCGCTCCGCGCTGCTGGGGTCCGGGACGGGTAGGGGGTCTCTGCGAGTCGACTCTGGGCGCGACAGGGAGGGCGCGTGAAGTCTGAGTTCTTCCACCTCCTCAAGATCCGGTTGGCTGGAGGGTCGTACTGATCGGTGCTGCCAGTCCCCTTGCTCCCTTTCTCCGCTTGTCTGTCCCCCTCTCCCCTCCTGGTTTCCGCCTCACTGCCAAGGAGGCAGAACCCACTGTTGGATCGTGCTGGGAGTTTGGGCGCCTAGATCTGCCCCACCCTATGTCTTGGAATTTTGTAATTCAGAGGGTTTTAATAATTTACATACAGAGAAAGTTTTTTTTCTTTTTTAAGAAGAGAGGTGTATAGTAATTTGACAAGATTCCTGGCAAAGCATAATTCTGTTTACATTTTCTGTGTGAATAGACAAGACAGCTGTGCATGGCAGATGTTACTACCTGGGAATTTTAATTGGAATTAAAAGGTTATGTGCATGGCAATCAATAGTATAGCATAGTGCTTTTCAAGGCTTTCTTACTTTTCTGGGCAATTCCACCAGTCAAGAGTTTGTTAAGCTTTACTTTCTATAGGCCTTTGAAAAATTACATAGTGTATGCTTTTTCAAAATACACCCACCTCACCCGTTAAATAATAAAAGCTTATATTTATTGAGCACTTACTGTGTCACAGGTACTGTGTTAGGCACTATACTTTTTATTTTTATTTTTTTGAGACAGAGTCTTGCTCTGTCGCCCAGGCTGGAGTGCAGTGGTGTGATCTCAGCTCACTGCAACCTCCACCTCCCAGGTTCAAGCAGTTCTCCTGCCTCAGCCTCTTGAATAGCAGGGACTACAGATGCACGCTGCCACCCTTGGCTTTCATACTTTTGTAGAGATGGGGTTTCACCATGTTGGCCAGGCTGGTCTCTAACTCCTGGGCTCAGACGATCCACCTGCCTCAGCCTCCCAAAATACTAGGATTATAGGAAGGAGCCACTGACTGCACCTGGCCACATAATGTCTTTTTTTTTTTTTTTTGATGGAGCCTCATTCTGTCGCCAGGCAGGAGTGCAGTTGTGTGATCTCTGCCCACTGCAGCCTCTGCCTTCCAGGTTCAAGCGATTCTCCTGCCTCAGCCTCATGAGTAGCTGGGACTATGGGCACACGCCACCACACCCTGTTAATTTTTGTATTTTTAGTAGAATGGGGTTTCACCATGTTGGCCAGGGTGGTCTCCATCTCTTGACTTGTGAGCCACCCACCTTGGCCTCCCAAAGTGCTGGGATTACAGGCATGGGCCACTGTGCCTAGCTTCTTTCATCCCTGTTGTAGCATGTGTTAGAATTTCCTTTTTTTTAAATTTCAAGACAGAGTCTTGCTCTGTTGCCCAGGCTGAAGTGCAGTGGCGTGATCACAGCTCACTGCAGTGTCGACCTGAACTTAAGCAATCTTCCTACCTTAGCTTTTCAAGCAGCTGGGACTGTAGGTGTGTGCTACCATGCACCTGCCAAATTTGTTAACATATTTGTAGAGATGAAGTCCTGCTATGTTGCCCAGGCTGGTCTCGAACTTCTGGGCTCAAGAGATCTTCCTTTTTCGGCCTCCCAAAGTGCTAGGATTACAGATGTGAGCCACCATGCCCAGTCATTGGTGGCAATTTCTAACTGATATATTTCTTATTTGCCCCTCCTTTTGCTTTTGTTTTCCCTACCCCTTCTCTGTCTTGTGTGCTTGTATGTTACCCATATTTCCCAGCATGACAGTGGACCCTTCACGAGTCCTCTTGGTGTCCTCCAGGGCTAGCTTGCTCACATGCGGGCTATTGGAGAATATGCAGGTCCACAATCCTTATTTGCAGTTCTGAAATGAAAAGGTTTTTTTTATTTTTTGGTAAATCTAGTTCCACAACTAATTTTGTGGGGCAACCCAACCCAGGCTGTCCTGCGTGATGCAGAAATGTGACTGCTTGATTATGGGGAGCTGCCCCAGCCTTAGCTGGGAGAGACAGATGATATACTATATGTACCATATTATCTTTCTAAAATCCAAGCAACACTGGTGACTCTAAGTGGAATCTCTCCCTCTACTGTAGACTAATATGTCTCGTGTGCCACTCAAGGTCTCCACTCAGTGTCTCCTCTTGGAAAGCTAAGAGGCATTGTTGACTCTTTACCGTCTTTTTCATATGCCATCCATCAGCAAATCTTACTTGCTCTATGTCCAAAATACAACCCAGAATTAGACCACTTAGGACCTGCATCTCTGCTACCCTCATCAGTGCCTGTGCATTTCTAGCTCAATGTTATTAGTTCTGGGAGTCAAGCGTCTACTAAATGTGGGTGACTGGTCCTAAGTTGCATCCATCATACTGGAGTGAGAATTGACTTGCATGCTATCGCTTTTGGTTTTTGCTTGAGTGCAGAATGAAGCGGCATTTGGATGACCAGGAGTCACTGTCGTATGCAGCCCAGCAGTGTCAAATCCCTGGCAGCACAGAGGCTTTCCTCACCGGCACCGGGTGCTTGCCCCCACCCCTCCTGTGAATGAAGCAGTGGCAGAGACCATGCAGTCAGCCCTGGGAATTCAGTACTCTAACACCGAGCTACCAGGTAAGCTTGAGTCAACCTGAGATTAACCCCCATATAGGCACTGAGAAGGGAGAGCTAAGCAGAATCCTGGCACAATTAAGATCTGAAGAATGTCTCCATTTATCGTATTACTACTCAGTTATTTCCCTTTATATAATCCTCTATATGTAATCATATATTAGTTCATAGAATGAGTACCTAAAGAATATCTTACCACTCAGTTATTTCCATATATATATATGGATATATAGCTATAAGATATATGTATAACTATATATCATATATATGGAAATATAGTTTTATGTATATAACTTTATTTTATAACTATATATAAGATATAATTATAGTTATAAGATATAGTTTTATATGTATGTGTGTGTATATATAATACATGTATAATATCTTAGTTCGTAATCAGAGGAATGCCTAGAGTAGACATGGCACAGAGCATGAATTAAGGAATAAGCAGCTTATAGTCGGACGAATGTCTGGAGCAGATACAGGGCAGAGCATGATTTAAGGGAAAACAGTTATTATACCAGGACAAGAATCCATGGCCCAGGCAGCAGTGTTCAATATCGTAAGATACCCTCTGTATGACAGGCTTGGGGCAAGAGCCACTCCTCTTGATAAGGGAGTTGTAGGACCTTGCTCCAGTTCTTGTGGAGGGCTGCCCTCAGACCAGCAATCCCTTGAGCATCTGAGGGCTCAAAACCCCTCTGGATAATCGCACCTTAGAGACTGTGAACCTTATCAGCTCTTGTTACTGTGCTGCTCGAAAAGCATCTTCCTATAGAACCCACTGGAAGCTGCCAGCAGGTGGCAGTAACCCTGACAGCTCTGTCACTGCTGTGTAACTTTAAGCATCCTCCTATAAATCTTTTTAAGGTAGCTTGCCTATAGATAGAGGTATTGCACACTGCACCCTCTTCACTGCACACGGCCCACCTCCATGCCTTGGTGACCTAATGGGGGTGGGCACCTGACTGCACATGGCCCACTTCCTTACCTCAATGAGCTAATGGGAATGGACCCCTTGCTGCACACTGTTCACCTTCTGGCCTAGGTGATCTAATGGGGATGGACCCCTTATTTTATGGCTCACGATCCTATCACTATCCTTAAAGATGGCTTCACTCACTACCTTGCCCCAACCTAAACCCAATAATACTGACGCTTCTGGACATTCAGGGCCTCACCTGACTCCACTTATACATGGCGTGGCCCCGCTGAACCCAGCTGTGTTTTCCTTGTACTTCTGTGTCCTGTCTCTATTTCTCAGATACTGCACATCAGCACAGCATAAGGGATACCCCACAACCCTGTAGGGTTCTCAGCGCCACACAACCAAGGAACTAGAGTGAGGGAGGAGGAATAGTGATTTTTGGGCAATTAGAAAACATTTTGTAATATTGAGATATTAAAAAATTGTGGAGTATGTGTAAGGTTAAAAAAAAATAACTTGTATCCTCACCATACAAGTTTTTGAAAAAAGAATGTCATTGTGGCCTTTGAAGTTCCCTGTGTATCCTTCTCTGATCCCTTCTTTCCCCTCCCTTCAGAGATAGCCACTCATCTAAACTTTGTGTTTATCATTCCCTTGACTTTATTGACAAAAAAAAAAAAAAACTCTAACATAATTGTTTAGTTTTGGTATTTTTTTTTTTTTGAGACAGAGTTTCACTCTTGTTACCCAGGCTGAAGTGCAATGGCATGATCTCGGCTCACCGCAACCTCTGCCTCCTGGGTTTAGGCAATTCTCCTGCCTCAGTCTCCTGAGTAGCTGGGATTACAGGCATGCACCACCCTGCCCAGCTAATTTTTTGTATTTTTAGTAGAGATGGGGTTTCACCATGTTGACCAGGATGGTCTCGATCTCTTGACCTCATGATCCACCCACCTTGGCCTCCCAAAGTGCTGGGATTACAGGCTTGAGCCACTGTGCCCAGCTAGTTTTGGTATTTTTGAATTTTTATATAAATGGAAACATTTTCTTCTTTGGCTCACTTTTTAAAAAAAAACTCCATATTTATATAGTTAGCTGTAACTGTACCATTTTCACTCTGGTATAAACTATATGCATATATTCAATTTATTTGTCAATTCTACTGTTGGACTATTGAGCCATTTCCAGGTTTTTGCTTTTACAAAGGAGCTGTTGTGAACATTCTGATGTTCTCTTAGTGCATTTAGTGGTAATTTATGACAAAATAAGAATCTTGTGCCAGAATTTAAATCAACACACTTATTAAGACAGTTTTGCTGTTTATTTGAAAAAGAAAAGCAGTTGAATTAAACATCATTTTAGAGAAATACAGCTATCTCTTGGACAGTGTGAGGGTGGATGCACTGACCCTCCCTCCATGCAGTCAAAACCACATGTATAACTTTTTTTTAAGGAGACAGGGTCTTGCTCTGTGGCCCCTGCTGGGGTGCAGTGATGTGATCATGGCTCAGTGCAGGCACAAATACACAAAATACATACTAATCAACCATATGTGTTATTGGTAAAGCTTCTGGACAATGATAGGCTATTTGTATTTAAGTTCTGAGGGAGTGAAAAGTTATACATGGGCTGGACGAGTGAGTCGACTTGTCCCAGCTCTTTGGGAGGCTGAGATGGGAGGATAGCTTGGGGCCAAGAATTTAGGACCAGGCTGGGCAATATAACAAGAACTCATCTCTACAAAAATCATAAAAATTAGCCAAGCATGGTGGCGCCCACCTGTAGTCCTAGCTACTAGGGAGGCTGGGGCATGGGAGGACTGCTTAAGCCCAAGACTTTGAGGCTGCAGTGAGGCTTCCTGCTTTGTTATTGTGGCTCTTAAATCTGTTCTCAACACAGCAGTCCAAGTGATTCTTTTGAAACCTAAGTCATACCATTGTCATTTCTCTGCTTAAAACCATCTTGTGGCTTTACATTTCAGTATGAGTATTAAACTGGAGTTCTTATTAAGATATGTCTGTAATCATGGCACTTTGAGAGCTGAAAGGAGAGGATCATTTGAGGCCAGGAGTTTTGAGATCAGCTTGGGCATCATTACAAGGCCCTGTCTCTATAAAAAAAGAAAAAAAAGTAAAAATAAAATCTGGGCATAGTGGCTCATGCCTATAATCCCAGCACTTTGGGAGGCCGAGAAGGGCGAATCACAAGTCAGTTTAAGACCAGCCTGGCCAATATGGTCTCTACTAATACAAAAGTTATCCGGGCTGAGTAGGAGAGAGAAGAAAGATGAAGGGTTAGTCTGGCCATCTCATGGGTGGCAGAGGTGGGAGAAAATCCACTTATAAGTTGACTTGCATTGTTGCTGGGTGCAGTGTCTCACACCTATAATCCCAACATTTGGGGAAGCATGAGGATTGCCTGAGCCTGAGTTAGAGACCAGCCTGGGCAACATATCAAGACCCTGTCTCTTCTAAACATAAACAAAGATTAGCAGGGCATAGTGGTGCACACTTGTGTTCAGCTACTTGGGAGATTGAGGTGGGAGGATCATTTGAGCCTGGGAGGTAGAGGCTGCAGTGAATATGCTACTGCATACCAGCATGGGTGACAGAGTGCAAACTTGTCTCAAAAAGAAATAATTAATTAATTTGAAAAAATAAATAAAAAATAAGCCAGGCATAGTGGTATATCTGTAGTCCTAGCTACCCAGGAGACAGAGGTAAGAGGATTGCTCAAGCCCAGGAAGTCAAGGCTGCAGTGAGCTATGATCAAGCCACTGTACTTCAGACTGGACAATAGTGCAAGACCCCCTCTCCTTAAAAACGAAACAAAAACCCATGTTATTCAAAGGTCAGCCATAGTTGGTTTACATTGTGGTGCAAACTCCTTATCCTGTTGCAAACCAGTCAGCAGGTTTGAGGACATAGAGGAGTTTCTCAATAACCTATGAAAGGGATTGCTGGGGTACCAAATTGTGTTTAGAAAGTATACCAATTTAAATTCCCTCAAGCATTGTATACTTCTCTCATTCTGTGTCCTGACCAGCACTGATCATTCATCTATTACTGTTTTGTAGAAGTGAAGGAATTTGGTTTTTGCCCTTTTTATTATGAAAGTAATACATCAGTTTGTTTATTTTTATTTTTTTAAGATGGACTTTCACTCTTATCGCCCAGGCTGGAGTGCAGTGGTGCAGTCTCAGCTCACTGTAACATCTGCCTCCTGGCTTCAAGGGATTCTCCTGCCTCAGCTTCCCAAATAGCTAGAATTAAAGGTACCCCCTGCCACACCCAGCTAATTTTTTGTATTTTTAGTAGAGATGGGGTTTCGCCATGTTGGCCAGGCTGGTCTCGATCTCCTGACCTCAGGTGATCCACCCGTCTCAGCCTCCCAAAGTACTGGGATTACAGGCATGAGCTACCACACCCAGCCTACTTTATTTTATTTGAGACAAAGTCTTGGTCTATTGCCCAGGTTGGAATGCAATAACACAATCTTGGCTCACTACAGCCTCCACCTGCTGGGTTGAAGCAGTTTTCCTGCTTCAGCCTCCGAAGTAGCTGGGATCACAGGCGTGTTCCACCACGCCCAGCTAATTTCTGTATTTTTAGTAGAAATAGGGTTTCACCATGCTGGCCAGGCTGGTCTCGAACTCCTGACCTCAGGTAATCTGCCTGCCTTGGCCTTCCAAAGTGCTGAGAAAACAGGAGTGAGCCACTGCACCTGGCCTTATTTTATTTTATTTTATTTTATTTTTTTGAGATGGAGCCTTGCTCTGTTGCCTTGGCTAGAATGCTCCATCATTGATTGATGGAGACAGAGTCTCACTCTGTTGCCCAGGCTGGAGTGCGGTGGCATGATCTCAGCTCACTGCAACCTCTGCTTCCTGGGTTCAAGTGATTCTCGTGCCTCAGCCTCTCGAGTAGCTAGGATTACAAGTGCACACCACCATGCCTGGCTAATTTTTATATTTTTAGTATAGACGGAGTTTTACCATGTTAGCCAGGCTGGTCTTGAACTCCTGGTTTCAAGTGATCTGCCCACCTCAGCTTCCCAAAGTGCTGGGATTACAGGCATGAGCCCTGTACCCAAGCCACACTTTGTTTTGTTTTGTTTTTTTAAAAAAGGAAATAGGCTGGGTGCTGTGGCTCAAACCTGTAATTTCAGCACTTTGGGAAGCCAAGGTGGGTGGATCACAAGGTCAGGAATTTGAGACCAGCCTGACCAACACTGTGAAACCCTGTCTCTACTAAAAATATAAGAATTAGCTGGGCATGGTCCTGGCACCTGTGATCCCAGCTACTTGGGATGCTAAGGCAGGGGAATCACTTGAACCCAGGAGGCACAGGTTGCAGTAGCCAAGATCATGCCACTGCACTCCAGCCTGGGTGACAGAGTGAGACTGTCTCAAAAAACAAAGAAAAAAGCAGCAAAGTAAAAGTCGTCTTTAATTCTGTAACCACAAGATTAAATGCTAACATTTTACTATATATTAGTTGTCTAGGGTTTAAAATCTTTTTATCATACTGCTTCATAATATGCTTTTATTTATTTTGAGATGGGGTTTTGCTCTGTCACCCACTGTAGTGTGCTTTAAAAATGATTTAAAGGTTTAATCTGTATACAGTACGTGAATACATTCAACCTGTGGATTATGAACCTTTTTTTGAAGTTAAAATATAGCTATCTATATTACTGCTACTGAAAGTGTGGCTTACAAATGGCGAATCTGTATCCTGTGTTACTAGTCTATAATGACATAGTATAGAAATTGAGAGCATTTAGAAACTGTTCTAGTAATTGGACATTATCATTTTTTATTTGTAAAATTCAGTAATGAAAGTTACAGCCTGGGCACGGTAGCTTATTCCTGTAATCCCAGCACTTTAGGAGGCCAAGGCAGGTGGACTGCATGCCCAAGAGTTCGAGACCAGCCTGGGCAACATGGTAAAACCCTGTTTCCACAAAAAGAATGACAAGTAACCAGGCCTGGTGGTACGTGCCTGTAGTCCCAGCTACTCAGGAGGCTGGGGTGGGAGGATCATCGGAATCTAGGGAGGTCAGGGCTGCAGTGAGCCATGATTGTACCACTGCATTCCAGCCTGGGTGACAGGGTGGGACCCTATCTCAATAAAAAGAAAAGAAAATTAGGCCGGACACGGTGGCTCAAGCCTGTAATCCCAGCACTTTGGGAGGCCGAGGTGGGTGGATCACAAGGTCAAGAGATCGAGACCATCCTGGTCAACATGGTGAAACCCCATCTCTACTAAAAATACAAAAAATTAGCTGGGCATGGTGGTGCATGCCTGTAATCCCAGCTACTCAGGAAGCTGAGGCAGGAGAATGCCTGAACCCAGGAGACAGAGGTTGCAGTGAGCCGAGATTGCACCATTGCACTCCAGCCTGGGTAACAAGAGTGAAACCCTGTCTTAAAAAAAAAAAAAAGAAAAGAAAAGAAAATTACAGGTTTATGTATTTTTTATTTCACTTTGACAATAATTTATTTTTATTGGATTTTTATACAAGTTGTAGTCCTTGGTGGATTGGAATTTTAAGAAAAATACTCATCCTTTACAACAGATAGTTTGAGATAAACCATATAATTCTTGTTTCTTCTTTTTGGAGACAGAGTCTTGCTCTATCATCTAGGCAGGAATGTAATGGCATGATCTCAGCTCACTGCAACCCCCACCTCCTAGGTTCAAGTGATTCTCGTGCCTCAGCCGTGACCTCACGTGTCACCATGTCCAGCTAATTTTTTTGGTCTTTTTAGTAGAGACAGGGTCTTGACATGTTGGCCAGGCTGATCTCGAGCTCCTGGACTCAAATGATTTGCCTGCCTAGACCTCCCAAAATGCTGGTTATAGGCATGAGCCACTGTGCCCAGCTAAACAATATAATTTTTAATAGCTACAAATAATCCTATTATAACATGGGTGGGCTGTAATTTATTTCTCCAGTTTCGTTTTTGAAAGTTTGAGTTTTTTTCTTTTCTTTCTTTCTTTTTTTTTTTTTTTCTTTTCTGACAGGGTCTCTCTTTGTCACCCAGGCCAGAGAGCAGTGGCATGACCATAGCTCACTGCAGCCTTGAACTCTGGGACTTGAGCAATCCTCCTCCTTTAGCCTCTAGAGTAGGTGGAACCACAGGTGCCAGTTTTTTATTTTTGTGGAGATGGTGTCTCACTGTGTTGCCCAGCAGTCTTTCCTCTTTTTTCTCTTTTTAGAGGCACAGTCTAACTCTGTGGCCCAAGCTGGGGTGCCCCGGCATGATCATAGCTCACTGCAGCCTTGAACTCCTGAGTTCAGGTGATCTTCCCATGTGGGTGAGACAGGTATGAGCCATCATGCCCAGCAGAAATTTGGGTTTCCAGTTAATTATCACTGTGCATTTGTGTTAGTTATTCAGACACGTTTGGGGAAGAATGTACAAGCCTTGAAGTTTCCTGTCTGTATGTTGTTCATTCCAGGTTTCAGCTGTGCCAGAGAGCTCTGGCATTTATGGGCCCACCATAGCATCAGTTCATAGCAGCCATCATCACCCAACAGCTGGGCAGCCCCACCAGTTTCATTAGTGCCAGGACAGCACCAGTTTCAGAGGCTGAAGGTGGTATTCAGCTCCTTTTCTTGGGTCAAAAAGTTTATCTTTAGCAGGAAATATTGGCTGCAGCTCGTCAGTCATGGTGGTACAACTTTTAACCTGAGATACTAGGTGTCAAATCACAGTTTTTCTTTGTTTTTGTTTTGTGAAATTTGCTTATGTTTTCTATCTTGGCACCAGTGCCTGATCCAGAGAAGAATATACTCAAATGTTTGTGGACTGTATGAATGCATGCCACTCAAATGTTATCAGGACTGAAGGGCCATTTCATACAAAATAAACCTTAAAATCCATTTCTTGGCTGTTTCCTTTTGAACTCTCTATTCAGCACACATATGATTGGCTACAGGTTTGTACAGTAAATTGGCCCAGTAATATGTCTACAGTTCAATCTTTTTAAATTCTTTTTAATTTTTGGAGATGGGGTCTCACTGTGCTGCCCAGGCTGGTCTCAAACTCCTGGTCTCAAGTGATTCTCCCACCTTGGCCTTCCAAAGTCTTGGGATTACAGGTGCAAGCCACTATGCCCAGCTCATGCCTATAACATTTTTATTACCTTCATCTGTTAGTTCCTGTTTATGAATAGCTGAACTGACTCACATCATCCTCAGTAAAACACATGCTCCTTTTTGGGGCAATCTTTATAAACTTTAGGAAAAACTGTAACTGTGAATGAATTATCAGTGTTTTCATATTTTCTGCTGAGTATGTGTGGTAGGTTTCTGGTGCTTTGAAACTCTTGATGCATCTGCGGAGAGGTGAAGTTTGTGTTCCCAGCTAACCTTGTATCTCTGACCACTTGAATGTTACTTTTAAAATGTGTGATTGTTGCAGAAAGTATTCAGGTTTCAAGTCTTCTAATTTTACATTTATATAAAATTGAGTTCAGGAAATAATAAAGGGAGGTAACTCTGAAGAGATGTTAAATCTGTATTTGGTTATAGCAGCCTACTTAAGTTTGCAGGCGGGAATGAGCAATAAACCCTTGAAAGACACAGCCATATGCAGTAATAGATCTGTCCTCTGTTTTCCCTGATACTTATTTAGTTCTTCTTGATCCCTGCCCTCATTGGTGTGGATTCTTGGAAACTTATTTAATATTGGTCTAAGGACATTAAATGCTACATAAATATTATAAAGTACAGCAAAGCTAAGTGATTCAGAGGAATTTTATAAAATTTACTCTCTATATTGGCTTATATAATATTGACTAATGTACAGTCTTTATTTATTTATTTTTAAGGCGGGGTCTCACCATGTTGGTCGGGCTGGTCTTGAACTCCTGACCTCAGGTGATCCACCCGCCTTGGCCTCCAAAGTGCTAGGATTACAGGCATGAGCCACCGCGCCTAGCCATACATAGTTTTTAAAGACTGTGCAGATATTTTAGGCCTGAAGCTTCACTCTGGATTCTGTCTTTGCGAAAATGCGCATTAGCAATATTGATGTTTTCCTTAGAAATTTCACTCTCTTGTAAAGTGATGGCTGTGTACCAAAACATATTATTGCTGTGGGCTTAGCACTTTACTAAGTCCTGAAAATGTATATTTTTTAACTTGGTTGCATGTGATTTAATTCTGCATTAACACTATATACTCAGTAGTTACACTTTAATGTTGCAAAATAGCTTATAAACTTAGTATTAAAATAACAAAAACATATTTATTTCTATATCCTTTTTCAACCAGCCCCATCAAAGCACAACATCCATTTTTACCTTCCTCACAGGAGTCTTCGGTGTCAGTATACGTATTATGTTTTGTTTGCTTTACAGAAACTAGCAAGGAAACAAGTGAAGAGAGCCGGGTAGCCCACCCCGCTGGGGGATCAGCAGCAAGGCTGCTGCAAACTTTGGGTAAACTCCAAGAAAAGCGAAACTGTAATAGGGAAATGTATATGTCTCAGAGAAGAGCAGTCACACCTAGGGATAGGTAACCAGCTTTCACTGACCTTGCTGCAAGACAGTTGTTAGCTGACGTATGTTAACTAAGGTATGAAAATTATAACCACAGGCTGTTTTGGGTAATCGCACCCTCCCTCTGCTATGTGCTTTGTGAACATATAAAGTAAATACTCTGAGGCAGGATGGGGCCGGAAAAAATGATACTTTCACTTCCCCAGACCTCCTAGACCCTCTTAGGGCATCTAGTCCAAGAACAACTTAAGTAACCAGTATTTGTTCATTATTTGTACTGGAAATTAACCAGTCAGAAACTATCATGCATGTTTATAAATCCAGTTTTTGGGCTTTTTGTTTTTGAGACAGAGCCTTGCACTGTCACCCAGGCTGCAGTGCTAACTCTATCCTCTGCCTCCAAGGTTCAAGTGATTCTCCTTGCTCAGCCTACCTAGTAAGTGGGATTACAGGCACCTGCCACCACGCCCAGCTAATTTTTTGTATTTTTAGTAGAGACGGAGTTTCACTATGTTGGCTAGGCTGGTCTTGAACTCCTTACCTTGTGATTTGTCCTCAGCCTCCTAAAGTGCTGGGATTACAGGCACGAACCATTGTGCCCAGCCTATAAAGCCTGTTTTATATGCCTGACTTGATTGCCCTGCAACGTTCAGTCAGGATTTTTTTGTTGTTGAGAGTTTCACTCTTTTTTTCTAGGCTGGAGTGAAATGGCATGATGGCGGCTCACTACAGCCTCTACCTCCCAGGTTCAAGTGATTCTTGTATTTTAGGAGGGAAATGGCATTTCAACATGTTGGACAGGCTGGTCTCAAACTCTTGACTTCAGATGATACTCCCACCCTGGCCTCCCAAAGTGCTGGGATTACAGGCATGAACCACCAGGCCCAACCTCAGTCAGGATTTTTAAAGTCACTACCCCACAAGATTGTGCTTTGTATAGTCTAGTTAATCTACAGAAGGAGGACAGATTTCTTGAAGGTTTTTTCAGTTAGTAGTAGTCCCCTGGGCATTAATATTTACTGCCCTGGTTTGGGCATGGTGGCTCACCCCTGTAATCCCAGCACTTTGGGAGTCTGAGGCAAGTTTACTCCATCCTGGGCAACAAGAGTGAAACTCCATCCCCCCGAAAATTTACTGCCCTAGTTTCTAAAGGAATTGTCATCCACCATCTTCCACTTTTTTTTTCAACTTGAAAGTCTGCACTCAAAATGGGTGCTAAGAATATAGACTTTCTTCTTACATGCAGCTTAAGTAGATAACAGTGATCCAGAAAGTGCAGAGATGAATGACTCAGAACAGTAGCCCTTTAACAGGATCTCTTTTCATTTGCAATTCCTTGGAAAGAGCAGAGAAATGCCAAGGCAGCTGGAGGAAACTACACTTCAGCATTGATGGAGCAGGTGGTGTATGCCCAGGTGGCTTGTCTCTTTAAAAACCAGGAAGATTTGTTGGCAGAGTTTGGACAGTTCCTACCAGATGCCAGCAGCTCCTCGGTATGTTTTATTGAGAAGAATCACACTATTTAAGATTATCATCTTAGGTAAATTAGAAAACTGCGCTCAGAAGGGGACTTTTTCTAGATGATATTTATGTGCTTTGATAAGAGCATTAATCTCTTTGACGTGTCTTAATCAGCTTTTAAGCAAAACAACTGCTGAGAAGGTTGATTCTGGGAGAAATGATTATGGAGCCACTGTCAAGAAGCCCCAACTGAACAACAGACTGCAAAGGCCTAGCCAGAATAACTGCCAAATCCGCAGACACCCCAGAAACCACCCCACAGAAACCACCTCTCCAGTGAAGGTGAGAGTGGGCAGCAGCTGCTCATTTTGACACTCACCAGCCATTTCAGTGGACAGACACTCTAGAGGAGGTCGTGTGTTCTTAGTGTGTTAATGGTTGGGTTAGTATGTGTCACAGACACTCAGTGCAAAGTTTATCTGGCTTTGTGAAAGAGTATTAGAATAACATTGATCATTTGGATTACTGTACTTTTTTGAGATTTTTATTATCTCTCTCCTTTGCAATGGGCTGTAATTTCTTTATTGTTTTGGTTGCTACTAAGAACTTCCAAGACTTAACATTTTTTTCCTTTTTTTTTTTGAGATGGAGTCTCACTCCATCGCCAAGGCTGGAGTGCAGTGGTGTGATCTCAGCTCACTACAACCTCTGCCTCCCACATTCAAGCAATTCTCCTGCCTTGGCCTCCCTAGTAGCTGGAACCACAGGTGCGTGCCAGCATTCCCAGCTAATTTTTTTTATTGAGATGGAGTTTTGCTCTTGTTTGCCCAGGTTGGAGTGCAATGGCACAATCTTGGCTTATCACAACCTCCACCTCTGGGTTAAGCGGTTCTCCTGCCTCAGCCTCCCTCATGAGTAGCTGGGATTATAGGAATGCGCCACCATGCCCAGGTAATTTTGTATTTTTACTAAAGATGCAGTTTCTCCATGTTGGTCACGCTGGTCTCCAACTCTCGACCTCAGGTGATCCATCTGTCTTAGCCTTCCAAAGCGCTGGGATTACAGGTGTAAGCTACTGCACCCAGACTAATTTTTGTATTTTTAATAAAGATGAGGTTTTGTCATCTTGTCCAAGCTGGTCTTGAACTCCTAACCTCAGATGATCCACCCACCTTGGCCTCCCAAAATGCTGGGATTACAAGTGTGAACCACCATGCCTGGCCCCTTCTTCTTATTTGATCCTTTAAATCTGTCTTGTGTTAAGAAAGAAGATTCTTGAGCTTGAGAATTATTGCAGAAATGAATGATCTCTTAGGTCTTGTGAGTAGAGTGTACGTGCTTTGTCAGGTTTCTTTGGTGTAGAAGCCTGTCCTGCTCGAAGTTCTTTGTTGGGTTACCAGATGTTTTCTATATCATGTTAATCTGTAAGGCAGGACCTTTGGACTGTAGCAGAGGGAAGTCATAAACTCCCGCTAGTAATCCATTACATGATGTTTTTTGTTATAGTAACACTGATGGTCTGCCTGCAGAAAACTCTGCTTGCTCCCTTCTTTGATGTGACACAGCTATGATAGGAAGAGGGCTAGTTGTATGTATTGAATATTGAATTCTTCAGTGAATTTTAAAGCAGTATGTAATATGGAAGAGATAGATGTGTCTGCAGAATTAAGTAATAAAAGATTGTGAAATTTCTAATAGTAAGAGGTGACTAATGAATAGTAAGTGACTAACTTCAAGGTCTGATATATTAGGTGTTAACGACACTTTTGACATATCCTTTTCATTAGTGTTTTTAATGGTTTCTTCTTTTGAAATCAAGTTGGACATAATAATGATTTCTCTTTCTTCATTTTGGTAAAGAGAATTAGTTAAATGGGTAGCAAGAATCAGCTCAGTAGATATACTCCACACTTGGATTTTTTTTTTCTGAGACAGAGTCTCGCTCTGTCACTCAAGCTGCAATGCAGTGATGCAGTATCAGCTCACTGCAACCTCCTCCTCCCATGTTCAAGCTATTCTCCTGCCTCAGCCTCCCAAGCAGCTGGGACTACAGGTGCATGCCAGTACCCCTGACTAATTTTTTTTGTACTTTTATTGGAAATGAATTTCACCATGTTGGCCAGGCTGATCTCAAACTTCTGACCTCAAGTGACCCACCTGCTCAGGAGGGGGACTACTGAAAGTGGCAAAATCCCCAGTGTGCTTATGTGTCTAGTTACATTATCATTATCCAAAAGGGAAGTCCATTTGGTCTAAAGAGTTTAGTAAGAATTTAAATGGTTACCCACAGTTATAACAGTGAACTCACTACAGTGTGATAGTCACTGCTCTTTTTATTACTGGATGTGGAACAAGGCTATTAAATATTTAAGTATTTAAATATATTTAAATATTTCAAGTTAAACCAGTAATCTCTGAAGACAGAACAGCCTTTTGGGATTGTTTTGATTGTTATTGTTTGTTCATGATGGATCTTAGCAATTCAGGAAAGTTCAGGGAAAAGTATCAGTAAAGTCATCTTCTCCTGTTAGGTTTCTCTGGTCTGAGATCAGTAGTCCTAAGCAAGGCACACACTGGTGGTGATGGTGGTGGAGGTAGTAACTTATCATTTATCCAACTTAAACCTGTGGTTCTTATGTGCCAGGTATTGTGCTAAATACTTTATGTGGATTGTGTCATTTAATCCAGAAACAAGCTTTTGAGAATAATAGGTGCTGTTATTTCTATTTTACTGATAAACAGTCTTAAGTAGCTAGTAGGGCAGAACCGAGATTCAGATCCAAGGAGTTTGACTCCCTACCTTATTCTTCTAACCACTACTTTATTCTATTCTGATTTGGGTATCGAGCATTCCCTTCTTTGTCTTCCTCTTCAGCTTGATATAGTTTTAGAGACCAATCTGTCAACAATCCAGGCCCAGTGGCTCGTACCTATAATCCCAGCAGCACTTTGGGAGGCCAAGACAGGCAGATCACCTGAGGTCAGGAGTTTGAGAGTAGTCTGACCAATATGGTGAAACCCCATCTCCACTAGAAATACAAAAATTAGCCAGATGTGGTGGCACACACCTATAATTCCAGCTATTCAGGAGGCTGAGGTAGGAGAATTGCTTGAACCTAGAAGGCAGATGTTATAGGGAGCTAAGATCACACCACTCCACTCCAACCTGAACAGCAGAGTGAGACTCCATCTCAAAAAAAAAAAATTAACTGGGTGTGGTAGCTTGTACCTGTAATCTCAGCTACACAAGAGGTTGAGGCAGGAGGATCACTTGAACCCAGGAGGTTGAGGCTGCAGTGAGCCATGAACACACCACAAAACTCCAGCATGGGTGACTGAGTGAGACCCTGTCTCAAAAAAAAAGAAAAAGATACGGATAAAGTAAGAATAAAAAAGCTCTGCGTGTGTACCTTAGGAATTGTATAAGCCATGCATGGGCTGGCGTTCTCGGTGCTGACATTTGTCTTGGCTGCCCACAGACCTTTTTGCTCCTGTTCCATGCCAGGTATTGACTTCCAGGTAAGGGTTTTCTATTTGTGTCCGAAATGATAGTATTACAGGAAGAGAGAGTTTTAAGCTGGAATGTTATTTGGTTAAGACCTGAACCTAATGGTTTCCAGGAAGTCGTTGTCTCTGTGGTGGTGAGGACAGGGCAGCTTCTCTGTGTGCCCTGAGAAGGTGCTGCTCTTCGTCTCCATTTTTAAAAAACCTGTAAGGGCCAGGTGCGGTGGCTCAAGCCTGTAATCCCAGCACTTTGGGAGGCCGAGGTGGGTGGATCATGAGGTCAAGAGATTGAGAACATCCTAGTCAACATGGTGAAACCCTGTCTCTACTAAAGATACAAAAAAATTAGCTGGGCATGGTGGCGCATGCCTGTAATCCCAGCTACTCAGGAGGCTGAGGCAGGAGAATTGCCTGAACCCAGGAGGTGAAGGTTGTGGTGAGCCGAGATCACGCCATTGCACTCCAGCCTGGGTAACAAGAGCAAAACTCTGTCTCAAAAATAAAAAAACCTGTAAATAGGATCCTACCCAGTAAAACAGTTTCGTTTTGCTTAAATTCACCATTCACACTGTATACTCAATCTAAAAATTCCTGGAGGCTGGAAACCCCTCAAACTCAGGGTCCTGGTGTCAGAAGCACCCAGAACTTTAGCAGCACAACTGTAGCCTTGTCTAGATGATTGCGATTCAGGCTATTATCTGGAATATTGGTGAATTTAAGTGATGTCCTCAAAGGCTCTGCTGCTTTCAGACTCTATGCCTTCTCGCACAATCTAGTGCTTTGGATTTGGTGTCTGTGCCTGTGTGTGCTGTTTTTCTTTCCTCTGTCTCTGCCAGTGGTCACCTGTCTCCTTTCCATCCCATCCCTGCCTAAAGACATCCCCTTCCCACCTGTCCCAGGACTGCTTTTCCATTGAATTCAAAATGAGTTCATTATAGTTTTATCTAAGAAATACAATTCTGAGAAATGGCTTCAGGGGTTTTCCCATGAGTTTTGCTCATAAGCTTCTCCGCATGGGTAGAGATTTTGGGTTTCAGCTGAGTAGAGGGAGGCCTTCCTCTCACTTCTGTCTTTCCATCCTCCTGATCCAGATGCCCACTTGGAGCCATAGCAGGGCTATTGATAAGTATCCTCTTGAAGAGTGACAGCATGTAAATCACTGACTAATTTCCATTATGAACAACATAGCAACTGAAACACGTGGTCCCCTTCCCCTACTGTGCATGCAGCAGACACAGCACTGTCAGACAGCTCCTCCGGAGTGCCCTTGTCTACAGCCCATTTCATTCCTTCAGCCTGGAAACAGGCTGGCGTTGGGAAAGCTGTTTTAAGCCATCTGTATTTTAAGCCATCTGGATTATTTGGAACTTCTTGAGGAACTCAATCAGCTGCATTTGCAAAAGTCTTAAAATGAAAACTATTTTTTTAAATGAGGTTGGTTGATCATTGGGAAACAATTTCATCTTTGATCAAAAACCAAAGGGAAGTGGGGAAAAGTAGCTTTCCTTTTCAGATTTAGGAAATGCCTCTTTTGTTTGTTTGTTTTGTTTTAATGAGACAGGGTCTCATTCTGTTGCCAGGCTGGAGTGAAGTGGTGTGATCATCAGTCACTGTAGCCTCCTCCTCCTGGGCTTAAGTGATCCTTCTGCCTCATCCTCCAGAGAAGCTAGGACTGCAGGCATGCATCACCACTCCTGGCTAATTTTTGCTTTTTAGAGATGGGGTCTTGCTGTGTTGCCCAGGCTGGTCTTGAACTTCTGGCCTCAAGTGACCTTCCTGCCTTGGCCTCCGAAAGTGCTGGGATAATATGCATGAGCCATCAAGCCAGGTCCTTATTATTCTTTGTTGTTGAACCAGAAATGGTTTTGGCCATGAAAGAAAAAGTGGCTTAACGCAGACAGTCTCTGTGGAGACTGTGGTAGCAGCTGTCTGTGCCTGGGCGCTCACCTCCCTTTGCTTGTAGGTTCCCTCCTGTACCTGAAACAAGAAGATGCTTTCTGGTGTCTCGTTACCATAGTGGAAGTTTTCATGCCTTGAGACTATTACACAAAGACTCTTATAGGATCCCAGGTAAGTTCTGAAAATTCAATGCTTCAGTCATCAATTTTAGAATTGCCACTGAAATGTGATCTTAATTAAACCTGTGGGTGTGTGGGCAGGGTGGGGGGGTGGATGCAGTTGTGTATGTGACTTCAGAGACTGATTCCTGAAGACGGCAGGCCACATTTCAGAGACTGGCCCCAGGCATGCTTGGGGAGTGGTGTGTTAGCTTAGCCTCTCAAGAAGCAGATGCTAGGTTGGGATGAGACACACCAGAGACTTCTAGGGGGAAACCCCTGTGAAGGACAAGGTACAGAGAAGCAGGAATTACATTTTCATATTAAGCTCCAATCATATAAACAGGTGTATATAATGGAGTGAGGCCCCCTAGTCTTCTAGTCACTCTTCTCAATTTATTCTATATATATATTTTTTGAGATGGAGTTTCGCTCTTGTTACCCAGGCTGGAGTGCAATGGTGTGATCTCGGTTCACCACAACCTCCACCTCCTGGGTTCAAGCAATTCTTCTGCCTCAGCCTCCCGAGTAGCTGGGACTACAGGTACACACCACCATGCCCAGCTAATTTTTGTATTTTTAGTGGAGACGTGGTTTCACCATGTTGACCAGGATGGTCTCGATCTCTTGACCTCGTGATCCACCTGCCTCGGCCTCCCAGAGTGCTGGGATTATAGGCGTGAGCCACCGCGCCCAGGCTATTTTATTCAATATCTTAGCTGGGCACAGTGGCACATAGCAATTTGTCTCAGCTACTTGGGAGGCTGAGGCTGGAGGATCATTTGAGGCCAGGCGTTCAAGTCTAGTCTGGGCAACAGCAAGACCCAGAAAACAAACTAAGTACAGGTTGGCACAGGCCCTTAGATCTGGGGAAAGCAATTTGTTCCAAAGCTGCTTGAACTCACAATACTACCAGCAGTCCATTCCCTCTAACCAGTAATGTATACCAAACAGAAATCAATTTTTAAAAAATATCTTCCCCATTTTCAAAAGTTCACCAGATGAGATGGGAGCTGCCTCTGTAGGTGGGACTTTCTAAGAGTTTCAGAATCAGAAAACCTTTGTTTTGGTTTTATTTAAAAATTACTTGCTGGACATGGTGGCTCATGCCTGTAATCTCAGCACTTTGGGAGGCTGAGGCAGGTGGATCACCTGAGGTCAGGAGTTCAAGACCAGCCTAGCCAACATGGTGAAATCTCACCTCTATTAAAAATACAAAAAAATTAGTTGGGTGTGGTGGCAGACACCCAGCTACCTGGGAGGCTGAGGCAGGATAATCGCTTGAACCTGAGAGCTGGAGGTTGCAGTGAACCAAGAACATGCCATTGCACTACAGCCTGGACAGCCAAGTGAGACTCCATCTCAAAAAAAAAGTTCAACAGAGGTCAGAAGTGTCAGTGCTGATGACAGGTTACCACTAACTGAGAACCGAGACCTGGAAGGGATATTCTCAAATGAGGCTCTGCTGTCACAAGTATGTGTGTGCACAAGCGCACACTTGGTGCTGGACTTCACACCTGCCTGGCTCCCTCTAACAAGGCTGGTCAAGCATGACAAGAAGGTTTTCACTCAAATGATTGTCCTGGAAACAAGGTGGCTAAATGCATTCAGAACCAGCCTTCTCTCTCATCATCTTAGATCCATTAAACCCATTCAACCGCCAGTCAGGTGGCTGGAAAAGAACATTCCCCAACTGTCTGAGGAACGATCCTTTAGTGAAAGGTCAGTGTCATCTAATGAAAGCTTCAGGCTCCTCTTTAGCCGAGGCCAAAGAAAGGTGGGGAAAGGGATATTACAATCAAGGGAATTTTTTTTTTTTTGAGATGGAGTTTCGCTCTTGTTACCCAGGCTGGAGTGCAATGGTGTAATCTTAGCTCACCGCAACCTCTGCCTCCTGGGTTCAGGCAATTCTCCTGCCTCAGCCTCCTGAGTAGCTGGGATTACAGGCACGCACCACCACACCCAGCTAATTTTTTGCATTTTTAGTAGAGATGGGGTTTCACCATGTTGACCAGGCTGGTCTCAATCTCTTGACCTCGTGATCCACCCACCTCAGCCTCCCAAAGTGCTGGGATTACAGGCATAAGCCACCGCACCTGGCCTTATCAAGGGAATTTAAACAGGGCTTAAGCAGCACTGAGAGTTCTAGGATGATAGAACATCATCCTCCAAGGACATTTGAGGGATATTGAATTTTAAGGTAAATTTCTATCAGAGGCACTGGTATTCAACCGCCTTGGCTTGAATTCTTGATCCTACTTAGTGATCTAAGTGCAGACTCAAGGTGTACATTCTTCAGCTGGGCAGCTGGATTCAGCTGCCATTCCCCAGTTGGGCAGACCCACCTGGCCCTCTAGGAGCTGGTTAAGGATTCTTTGCAGATAATGCAAAGCACACAGGAGACTTCACATCTTGACATCATTGTGCTGGTTCTCTGGCCTTCCCATCTCAAGCTCACATGTGATCACGGCTTCTTCAAGCCTGCATGGCTTCATCTTGTTTTACCCTGTGTTCCAGTCACACTGTCACCTAAGCCTGGAATGCTGCAGCCTCTCCGTTCTTTTGAATTTCATTTATTCACTTGATAAACGTATACTGAGAACCCACTTTGGGCCAGGCATTGTTCTAGGGGGAGAGGAGGCATGTTAATCAAGTGAATGTGGCCAAATGCAGTGGCTCAAGCCTGTAATCTGAGCACTTTGGGAGGCTGAGGCAGGCGGATCACAAGGTCAAGAGATTGAGACGATCCTGGCCAACATGGTGAAACCCTGTCACTACTATAAATTCAAAAAAATTAGCTGGGCATGGTGGCCTGTGCCTGTAGTCCCAGCTACCGAGGAAGCTGAGGCAGGAGAATTGCTTGAATCTGGGAGGCGGAGGTTGCAGTGAACCGAGATCGCACCACTGTACCCCACCCAAGCATGGTGCCTGGCAACAGAGCGAGACTCTGTGTCTCAAAAAAAATAAAAATAAAAAATAAAAATTTAGCCAGAGGCTGGGCATGGTGGCTCATGTCTATAATCCTAGCACTTTGGGAGGCTGAGGTAGGAGAATCTTGAGGCCAAGAGTTCAATACCAGCCTGGGCTACATAGGGAGACCACATCACAACAAAAAATAAAAATAAAACAATTAGCCTGGCATGGTAGTTCCAACTACTCAAGAACCTGAGGCAGGAGGATTACATGAGCCAGGAGACTGCAGTGGGCAGCAGAACAAGACTCTGTCTCAAAAAAATAAAAGAGAGAGAGAGAGCAGGCATGGTGGCTCCCTCCTATAATTCCAGCATTTTGGAAGGCCAAGGTAGGAACATCACTTGAGCCCAGGAGTTCAAGACCAGCCTGGGCATCATAGTGAAATCCCGTTTCTTCAAGAAATATAAAAATTAGCATGTGCTTATAGTCACAACTACTTGGGAGGCTGAGGTGGGAGGATGGTTTGAGCCCAGGAGACTGATTCATCACTGCACACCAGCTTGGGCAACAGCGCAAGATCCTGTCAAAAAAAGGAAAGAAAGGAAGAAAGTGAAAGAGAGAGAAAGAAAATAAATAAAGAAATACATCACATGGGCCAGGTGTGGTGGCTCATGCCTGTAATCCCAGCACTTTGGGGGGCCAAGGGGGGGGCGGATCATGAGGTCAGGAGTTCGAGACCCACCTGAGTAACATGGAGAAACCCTCTCTCTACTAAAAATCCAAAATTAGTTGGGCATGGTGGCAAATGCCTGTAATCCCAGCTACTCGAGAGGGTAAGGCAGAAGACTGCTTGAACCTGGGAGGTGGAGGTTTCAGTGAGCCAAGATCGCACCTGCACTGCTGCCTGGGCAACAAGAGTGAAACTCATCTCAAAAAAAAAAGGAATAAAAGAACATGGTGGCTGAGAGGGTCTGGTAAGTTCAGGTAACAGTGGCCTCAGGCCACATTCACCTCATGTGGGCTCAATGGATAGAGGCCTACCCCCAACTCAAGGGAAAGGAGCCAGTGATGGCCGCAGAGGGTTGGGGGTCTCTGGGTCCTGGGACAATGACTTTCAAACAGCGAAGGTGAGGAGAGACACTGTTCCTGTTTTGCCCTCATGTGCTGCCCACCTGGCTCCCCATCTGCCAGCTCACACTCTGCACGGGCATGACCCCAAAAGGCTGTGGTGCTCCTGCTGGAGTAGGTTTGTGGTGGGCGAGAGTGTAGGCACAGGGTATGTGGACACCCACCTGGAATGGAAGGGGGCTCCCCCAGTCCTGTGGCCAACTCTGTGCAGCTGTCAGTGCCTGCACCCCCAGGAGCTGTCCAGAGGGAAGATAAAGGCGGCAGACCGGAGAGGAAAGGACACTTACTCAAAGTGCCACTCCTGCTAACTACAAGACAAGGAGCTTCGGAGAGAAGAGCAATCACCAAGGGCCTGTGGTAGGTATGTGGACAGCCTGCTTTGAACTGGCCCTGCCTGGACTCACCCTAAGCCAGGCTCTCCCCTCCCTGCATAGTCCATCAGTGAGAGTGTTCATACTTGCTCCTTCCCAGGGAGGAAGCACCAAGGGACTGCAGCCCTCCCCTCTGCTGACTTTTTAACTCCCTCTTGCCTCCTGTCCTCACCAGCTCAGAAGGTCCCTCAGGAGCAGCACTGCATTTTCCCACCTCCTCAGCCCTCAGGGACTTCAGCCTACTAACCTATCCCTCCTTCTCCTGGGCCTGAGCGAGCTAAGCTCTCTTCTGGCCTTCCTATCAGCTCATAAATGCAGCCAACTCTCCCTCATCAGGAAGCACAAACATAAAGTAAAATTAAAAAATTACTGCTCCTCTCTCTCTCTCTCTCTCTTTCTCTCTCTCTCACTTACATACACACCCCCACACGCACCCACGCACCCACACACCCACAAATAAGAGCCAAATAATAAACTGGGGAAAGATCTTTGCCACACAGAGACTAGACAAGGATCAAAATTTTATTGATGAGCTCAAACCAATCAATAAGCAACATACAAAGAGCCTGGATGCTCATACTCTGACCCAGGGATTTCTTTCTGTTTTTTTTTTTTTTAATAAAGACGTTTCACCATGTTGGTCAGGCTGCTCTTGAACTCCCGACCTCAGGTGATCCGCCCGCATTGGCCTCCAAAGTGCTTAGATTACAGGCATGAGCCACCACGCCCAGCCCGACCCAGAGATTTCCTTTCTAGGAAATACCAAGAAATATCTAGCTGGGTATACAAATATACAGCCATTCTAAAAGTTCATATGCACTGATTACCAGGTTAATTCCTTCCCAGGAAATAACTGGCAATGTACAAATGTATGTATAAATTCAATGTAACATTATCTAAAAGAGCCAAATATATTTTTTAAAAGTAAAAAGAGATCCAAGAACTCAACACAATGTAGCAAAATGCAAGCATTGAAAATATAAAAAATGTTTGAGAGATGAGGAATGCTCATGAAATTATACTAATGGAGGGCCCGGCGCGGTGGCTTGCGCCTGTGATCCTAGCACTTTGGGAGGCCGAGGCAGATGGATCATGAGGTCAAGAGATCCAGACCATCTTGGTCAACATGGTGAAACCCTGTCTCTACTAAAATACAAAAAATTAGCTGGGCATGGTGGCACATGCCTGTAATCCCAGCTACTCAGGAGGCTGAGGCAGGAGGCGGAGGTTGTGGTGAGCCGAGATCGCACCATTGCACTCCAGCCTGGGTAACAAGAGTGAAACTCCGTCTCAAAAAAAAAAAATTTATATAGACAAGATATTCAAATATGGAAAAATGTGTTTTTATTTATTAAGTTTTATTTTTTATTTATTTTGGAGATGGAGTCTTGCTGTCACCCAGGCTGGAGTGCAGTGGCACCATCTCAGCTCACTGCAACCTCCACCTCCTAGATGCAAGCCATTATCCTGCCTCAACCTCCCCAGTAGCTGGGATTACAAGCACCTGCCACCATGTCAGGTTAACTTTTTGTATTTTTAGGGGTGAAAGGATTTTACCATATTGGCTAGGCTGGTCTTAAACTCCTGACTTCAAGTGATCTACCCACTTCGACCTCCCAAAGTGCTGGAATTACACGCGTGAGCCACCTCGCCCCACTGGAAAAACATGTTTTTAAAAAGTCTGGCAAAAAAAGGCAAATGTTAATAGTCATCTATAAGTATGCAAACAGGAATGGTTTTTCCTACTTCTTTCACCTAATTCATTCAAACAACATTCAGGAAGCACCTGCCAGGTGCCAGGCCTGACACTGGGCATTGGGATCTGGACAAAACTCCTTCCCTCCAGGAGCTTCCAATCTGAAGGGAAGGATGCAGTAAACCAACGAAAATGCAGGGTGGCCGGGTGCGGTGCTTCACGCCTGTAATCCCAGCAGTTTGGGAGGCCGAAGCAGGTGGATCACCTGAGGCCAGGAGTTTGAGACCAGCCTGGCCAACATGGCAAAACCCCATCTCTACTAAAAGTACAAAAACTGGCCGGGTACGGTGGCTCACGCCTGTAATCCCAGCACTTTGGGAGGCTGAGGTGGGTGGATCACCTGAGGTCAGGAATTCAAGAGCAGCCTGGTCATGATGGTGAAACCCCATTTAAAAAAAAAATACAGGCCGGGTATGGTGTCTGAAGCCTGTAATCCCAGCACTTTGGGAGACCAAGGTGGGTGGATCACTAGGTCAAGAGATCGAGACCATCCTGGTCAACATGGTGAAACCCCGTCTCCACTAAAAATACAAAATATTAAATAAAAAATAAACGACAACAACAAAATTAGCTGGGTATGGTGGTGCGTGCCTGTAATCCCAGCTACTCGGGATGCTGAGGCAGGAGAATTGCCTGAACCCAGGAGGTGGAGGTTGTGGTGAGCCGAGATGGCGCCATTGCACTCCAGTCTGGGTAACAAGAGTGAAACTCCCTCTCAAAAAAAAAAAAAAAATTAGCTGGGCATGGTGGTATGTGCCTGTAATCCCAGCTACTAGCAGGGCTAAGGAAGGAGGATTGCTTGAACCTGAGAGGCGAAGGTTGTGTGAGCTGAGATTGTGCCAATGCACTACAGCCTGGGCAACAGAGTCAGACTCTGTCTCAAAAATAAATAAAAAAAAAAGAAAATGCAGGGTTATCAACAGCAGTTTGTGAGCACACACACCTAGAAGGTCCCCAAAGAAGCAGGCATGTTGGGAGAGTGGGAGGAGGTGCACCCCAGAACTCAGATGGCCGGCTTGGTGGCAGAGCTATCCACCTGCCACCACCTTCCAGGACCTGCATCCCACATGAACTGCATCCTTGGAGGTCTGAACCCATTGGCCCCCAGCCAGGTGGGCTTGGCAGTTGCTGGCTGGGGCAGATGTGGTAGGTCACAACCTCCTGGTATTCCACACAAGCCGCCTGCAGAGGTTCTCCCAACCCTGTCCCACACTGGAGTCTGCGGGCCCATCACAGGAACTCGAAATTAACGGACACATTACCCTAGGCAGCTAGAGGGCTTCAAATAGTACAAGGAAACAAAACACATTTTTTAGATGGCTGTCCATTTCAGAGTTTATCCTCTAAGACTGAGCTGTCCCAGCAGACAAGCAACACAGGCACCCAAGGCATTAGAAAAATGTTTGAAAGCAAAACTAATAACAAAATTGAGTGTAGTGGCATGTACCTGCAGAACCAGCCACTTGGGAAACTGGGGTGGGAGAATCGCTTGAGCCCAGCAGTTTGAGCTGTAGTGAGCTAGGATTGCACCACTGCACTCCAGCCAGGGTGACAGGGCAAGACCCTAAAAAACAAACAAAAAACTAATGACAGAGAGGATTCCATCTCTCCTTGCCCTTTCTTTCCATTTATATTTTGTTTTCCTTTGATTTGGGGACTCTCTTTTTGGGGATTTCAGCTGGAAACCCAGTGCAGCTGGGTTTCTGGTCCTGGAGAAGGTCTGCACCTGGAGAGGGTTGTGGGAAGTTTTCAGGGAGGCCTGGCCCTCCGTCTGCTATGGGACCCTGGGAAGGGGAAGGGTGGCTCTCCCATTCTTTGGGAGGAGGCGACAAAGGGGAAGTTTTTGGGTAGTTGGTAGCGGAACGCCAGACCTGGCCTTAGACATCAGGTGCTCGGGGTTATTTGCTGAATGCAGGGTAAGTGACCCCAAGGGGCCTTCGCGGAACAGTCAGTCGCTCGGTTTTGGGGAAGGGAGGAAGCCGCTGAGAGGGTGTCTGGACGGAAACCTGGGTGGGTGCAGGGGAGACGGCGCTTTAACCCTCTTAAGGCCAGAGGCTCAGCCGAAACTATCCAGGAGGTGGGAACTTGTCCTCCCAGATGACAGATTATGAGACCGTGGGAAGGGGACTCGCCCCGGCAGTGAAACGGGATGGACGCCGGGACCAGGTGCCCCAGGAGAGCCGCTCCCAAGCCCAGCTGCGCTCCCGCTCAGCCCTCAACCTTTCCCAGCTGGAGAGGAGGAAGGGGCGCCTGCGGATCCCAGGCGAGCGCGGAGGCTGGGTGACTCCGACCGGCTCGCCCCGCGTCCAGCTCGTATCGAGGCCGTTTTCCGCACTGGGAGGGCCCTTCCGCTTCTGGGCAGGTCCAAATCCTTGCCCTCCCTGAGGCCGGCGCCGACGCCTCCAGCCCGGCAGAGCCCCCTCCAGCCGGCCGCTATCCATCCCTGTCCCAATCGCATCCGCTCCCGGGCGAGCACCGCCGGGCGCCCAGGCCTCCCGCGGGACCGCGCGCCCCCTGGATGGAGGAGCGCGACTCGTCCAAGGTCGAGGGGCAGAGCCTGCCCGGGACTCGGCTTCTCCCCGACGCCCTGTCTCCAGCCCCGGGGCCGGCCGCGGGGCTGCCCTCGAGGGCTCCCGGGCCGGGTGCGTCCTGCCCGCGAGGGCCGGGGCTCCGGGTCCAGCCGCCGCGCTCTACTTCGGCGCGCAGTTGGGGTGGAGGCAGTGGCCGGTACCGCAGCGCGAGGATCGTGCGCGCACAAATGTCGCCTCCAAAACAGGTGGTCTGGGCTGGGGCAGCTGCCCAGCCCCTCCGCCCCTCGCGCTCCCCACCGGGAGCTGCAGGACCCGCCTGGAGCCCCAGTCCGCTGCACCCTCCGCGCGGCCCCTAGTAGCTCTGGCTCCTGCGGCGGCCGGCAATGGACAGCTGGGGCCCGGGCGTGCGACGCGGCGGCCGGATGGCAGGCCCTAGCCCGCCCTGCCCGCGGGTCCCGCTCCCCGGCCCCTGCTGGCTCCCCGCACCAGCGGGCGCCCCCTCGCTTTTCCCCAGGCGGGTGCAGACCGTCCTTGGCAGCGGGCCAACAGGTAGGGAGCGCTCCCCGGCCTCCCCGCTGCCGGTATTACGGGTTACAATCCCGTTTTCCCCCACGGAACTAATGAGAAAACGGAGGTTCAGAGAGTTGTTAGCTCGATGTCCTGCAGTGGGAAAGGGACGGTGTCACCCGCTAGGACCTGGGTCGGCTTCCACTGCCCCCTGCCGGGACCATGCTGAGGGCGTTGCCTGCATCATCCAGTGTTTACTGAATTCCAGTTATTTGCTGTATCCTTAACGCCACCCCGTCCTTTCCCTACTCCTCCTTGCTCTCACCTCGTCCATCTTCTCACTTAGCTGCTGACCCGGTGCCCAAGCCACCGAGAAAACGGAACCTCTATCCTAGCCCTGAGAAAGAGCCTGACACTCAATGGGTATCCAATAAATACGCTTCGATTGAAGGAATCAGTAGAAATTCCCACCAGCTCCCCCACGCACCTGCTGAGGTAGCACCCACACTCCCTTCCCTCTTGGGACCAGGCTGAACCCGTCCAGCTTCTAGCCACGACCACCCCCTCCACAAGAT